CAAGCCTGAAAGAACTATTAGAAACAATAGAAACCAAATACCAAATAAATACAAAGATTACATAATGCATATGAATGGAGAACAAATAACACCTAATACATATGAAGAAGTATTGAAACTTCCACGTGAAGAAAGAGAAAAATGGGAACTAGCTATGGAAAAAGAGATGGAAAGTTTACAAGGATTAAATGTATTCACACCTGCGATCGCACCTAAGGATAAAACAATTATAGGTACCAGGTGGATTTATAAAATTAAGAACTTAGAAGGAGGCAATACCTTATACAAGGCTAGACTAGTTGCACAAGGCTATGCACAAAAATATCCAGAAGACTATACTGATACATATTCACCCACAGTGAGAACAGAGAGTGTCAAAACAGCCCTTGTAGTAGCATCTGCACTCAATCTGGACGTATTCCAATACGACATACAGACCGCATACTTACATGCAAAATTAGATAAGGAAATATATGTAAGAGCACCACACAGTCAATACACTAATAAGAACGAAATTTGGTTATTAAATAAGAGTCTGTACGGATTAAAGCAATCCGGCAAAAGATGGTACGATTGCTTGGTAAAAGTACTTAAGACCATGGATTTCAACGCCACCACTGCTGATAACTGTTTCTTTGTAAAAAAGAGTAATGATCATATTGAATTTGTATTAATTTACGTGGACGATATTTTATACATTGGAAAGCATAAAGAGAGCAGGGAAATCTTTGTGAATAAGTTAAATGAACACTTCTCACTGAAATCTCTGGGTAAAGTGAATAAATACCTTGGTGTGCAAATTAACAAAACTAAAAGGGGATTCAAACTTACACAGAAAGATAAAATCATCGAACTCCTAAACAAATGTAACTTAAATAATGCCAAAACCTGTGACACCCCTATGCAAACTGATTTTCTTAGAAACACTGATGAATCTTCCCCTGAGTTTAAAGACAACACATTTTACAGATCAGTTATAGGTTCACTCCTTTATATATCTAATTGGACTAGGCCAGATATTGCATTACCTCTCAATCTATTGTCAAGATATGTTAGTAAACCAACCTTGTATCATTGGGAAGCTGTCAAAAGAATTCTAAGATATCTGAAGGGTACATTAGATTTTTGTTTAATGTTGGAACCCAATAATGACAGAAAACCAAAAATTACTTGTTATGCTGATGCAGATTGGGCTGGTGATACATCATGCAGAAAGAGTACTTCTGGTTATGTTTTTCTATTGAATGATTGTCCAGTTTACTGGTATACTGGTAAACAAGAACTAGTAGCCACTTCTACTACAGAAGCGGAATATGTTTGTTTGTCCAAGGCTGCAAATAACCTTGTATGGTTCAATGATCTGATCACTGATGTTTGGAAGAAACCCACTTTACCATTTATTATGCATGAAGACAATAAAGCGGCCATTGAAATATCCAGATCCGATGCAATTGGACAAAGGTCCAGGCATATTGATATAAAGTTTAAGCATGTGAGACAACTGTCTCAAGACGGATTCATCAAAGCAATACATTGCGATACTTCTGAACAATTAGCTGACATATTAACAAAACCCTTACCTTCTAAACAACACAAATATTTAACTTCTAAATTATATGTATTATATTGTCCTGAATCAGAATGTAATTGGTGTTATGTAACGAACCGGCATTTAGAGGGGGATTTGTCAGATGTAAATGCCTTATTCTCCAATGTGTAAATAATGTATATATGGAACATCAGAGGTTAACTTATTCTTTGGACTTTAATGTATTCATAACTTACCACTCCCATTCCTAGCTCCACCCCTTGTATATATAAGGAGCCACCCTCACCATTCTCGTCGCTTCTACCTTGAATATTCAGTGAATATAGAATGCCTATCATAATTAAAAAGAAATATATTTAAAGCTCTAACTCCTATTATCTTTATTGAGTCTGATCCTGAAAATATTGCAACAGGTATCATTTGAAAAAGAAATAAAAACCTTGGTAATACATTCATTTTTACTGCAGCTATCCTTCCCAGCAAAGACAATTGTAATTTTTTCCACTTTTCCATCTCATTCTGTATTTTTTGCCACAACGGTTCATAATTATACTGATATAGTTTCATATTTGTGGTCATGATATAAACCCCTAAATATTTAACCTTCTTTACTATCTCAAATCCTGTTACTCTTTCTATCTCTTCTTTTTGGCTTCTAGTCATATTTTTAGCTATTATCTTTGTTTTAGCTGTATTTGTTTTAAAACCACATACTTGTCCATTTGAGTTAATTATATCCATCAAGGCTGTAATCGATTGTGCTGGTTGGGCTAAGGTAACAACCAGGTCATCCGCAAATGCTCGTAACTTATACTCATGCTGTCTAATTTTAATTCCCTTTATTGTATCTGTCCCACGTATTTTACTCAGTAAGATTTCCAGCGTCAAAATAAACAATAATGGAGACAAGGGACAACCTTGCCTTGTTCCTTTTTCTATATTAAAAATACCTGTTAAACCTCCATTAATTATTATTTGTGCTGTTTGTTTCTGATATATTGCCTTAATTAATTAAGGCAATTAAGGTATTAAAGCATCATTCTTCAAGCTTCCCTCAGTCGCAAATATAGTTTTGGGGCGTTATCCTGCATCCCCAAGAGAGAGAACTGGAAGGAATAGCCTTCACTGAGCCTCAAGGGAGGTGCGCTTTGTCCCTGCCCGATGGCACATTGTGTTTTACCCACGGATGCTTTCCTTGGTTCAGTTCCTGCAAAAGAAGCTCCTGGCTCAGTTGGCGTGACTATGTGGTCATCCCTACCAGAGAGGGACAGACTAGGGCTAGACTAGCGCCCCCAGATGTAAAAATTGGCTGGAACAATCTTCACCAGCTCCCAAGGGAGGCGCACTTTCAGGTTGCATATTATAGTCATTCCCCTCCCTAGGACGCTTTCCTTTGGTTTAGTTGGAGCAAGAGGGAAAATGACTGTGTCCTCTTGGGAGACCTGAAAGAAAAGGTACAGCGTAGATCGTCATGGACGAAAACTATTCCTGTGCTCGGTGGGAGTCCAATAAGACTTGATGGCACCGAAGGAAGGACGGAATCCATAAAAGCCTCTTGCAAATTTTCAACGTTATGTCGCTAGATGGCGCTCTACAAAGAAGCAACACTCGCGCCTTAGAAAGCAGTGAATAGAGTACAGGAGCGGCATCGCTAGTATTCACATGACACCGGAAGGAGAGAGGCCGAGCTGGAACGAATTGGAACGATAGATTATTAGATTGCTAGAGAGGAGGAGGAGAGAAGAAGTTCCTCTTCCGGTTCACCCACGGGAGGAGGATAATGGCATCGGCGGAGCCTCTTGTGCTGCTCGGAGGGCGGAAGCGGCTCCTGGGAGGTGAGTGGAGGGAAGGTCGGAGGAGAAGCCTTTTGGGTTCCTGCAGGGCCTGGAAGCAGCGAAGGGACAGGAATGAAACATGAGGGCTGCTCCTGCTGCAGATTCTTTCTCTCCCCCAAATTCTTTTATTATCCTTTTTCTCCAGGATATAAAGTTGCTGCCTATGAAAAATGAAGTTCAACAGCTGTAGAATCAAGCTGCCGCATAAGAAAATTGACAAAAGTAAAGGGAGTCTGAATACTTTCTGAATGCACTGTATTTAGAAAGATAAGAACATTTCAGGTTAAGTGACAGGCCTGGGATGTCTTGGCCAAAATGCCTGCAGAGCATTTTGGGGAAGAGAGACTGATGTGCACAAGAGGCAGGTTGGTTGAGCTCCAAAGTGGCTTCTGTTGTTGGAATAAAATGCCCTGTGGAGAGTTTTTCTTTATATTCTGTTCACCCAGTCCTGCTTCCTCTAGTTATTCCATAGCCATCTTCCCTTTCCAATTTTCAGTTTTTCTCCAAATTCTGTCGGTTTAAGGCACAGAATTTCTCTGTGTCTTTCCACCTTTGCTTTCATGGCATTCCCTTTCTGTAAAGCCAACAAGCATGGTATGTAAGTTGGCATTGTCATATGACATCATGCTTAAAGATTGGGCTCCTTATTGACACAGATGCCAGTTCCAATTGCAGTCAGTAAGTGAACACTACTTGAATTAGGATGTCTGCAGAGTGGTTGTGAAAGTGCAGGAAAAGGAGTTGCAGCAATTGCAATTCAGATTTACAGTGGTTGCAGTATGTCAGAATCAAGATCCTCATTTGTGACCTTCCCGGCTAATTTTTGACAAGCAAAATCAGTGGAGATGTCAGCAGGAAGTTGGAAGTCACAGTCATGTAAAATTGCCTTTAACAACCCAGACAGATTTGCATAATAAATGCAGAGAAACAGAAGAAAGTTGGCATTGTGATATGATATCATGTTTAATGATTGGGCTACTTACTGACACAGATGCCAGTCCGAATTGCAGTCAGTAAGTGGGCAAAATTATTACATCAAATCTTGTAGAGGATTTAGGTATCATTTCATAAGGTAAAAATCCACACCTCTAAATTTAACTCAGAAGATTCAACTGTAACCATTTTGGGATAATTTTCAGGCTAAAAACACATGGATTTTCCACATACATAGTTATAGGTGTGTGTATTTATATTTCTCTCTGTGTGCATATATTTACAACTGTACAATCTATCCCCAGCATTTCCAGATATATTTAATGATAAGCTTTTGCACTGCTAAGAATTTGTGAATCACCAAAGTGAAAAAGATAATTTCATGACTGAATGGATATTTGAACTTGGACACAAATGTGTCAAATAAATCATAACTAATGTAAGAGGTTATTCTTTATTGTGGTATGTTTACTTATTGTAATGTATACTTTTTTCTTTTTTCCGCATCTTTTCAGTCACAATTCCACCCTGGTAATACACCAGAAGACTCATATGGGAGAGACATCCTTTCCATGTCCTGACTGTGGGAAAAGTTTCAGTCAGACTTCCAACCTGGTGACACACCAGAGGACTCACACAGGAGAGAAACCGTATGAGTATCCAGATTGTGGGAAAAGTTTCAGGCACACTTCCAGTCTTGTGCAACATCAGAGGACTCACACAGAAGAGAAGCCGTATGAATGTCCTGAGTGTGGGAAAAGTTTCAGTAATAATTCCAGCCTTGTGAAACACCAGAGAACTCACACAGGAGAGAAACCGTATGAATGTCCCGAGTGTGGGAAAAGTTTTAGATGTAATTCCAGCCTGGTATCACACCAGACGATTCACACAGGAGAGAAACGATATGTTTGTCCAGAATGTGGGAAAAGTTTCAGTCGTATTTCCAGTGTGATAAGACACAAGAGGACACACACAGGAGACAAACCATATGAATGTACTGAGTGTGGGAAAAGTTTCAGTCATATTTCCAGTCTGATAAGACACCAGAGGATTCACACAGGAGAAAAACCGTATGAATGTTCAGAATGTGGGAAATGTTTCAGTAGTAATTCTGACCTGGTGTCACACCAGAAGACTCATTCCCAGGACAAATTATATCAATGTCCAGAGTGTAAGAAAAGTTTCAGTCATAATTCCCGCCTTGTGACACACCAGAGGACTCACACAGGAGAGAAACCGTATGAATGTCCAGAATGTGGGAAAAGTTTCAGCCAGAATTCCACCCTCATGATACACCAGAGGACTCATACAGGAGAGAAACCGTATCACTGTCCAGATTGTGGGAAAAGTTTCAGTCACCCTTCCAACCTTGTGCGACATCAGAGGACTCACACAGGAGAGAAACTTTATGAATGTCCAGAATGTGGGAAAAGTTTCAGTCATAATTCCAGCCTTGTGAAACACCAGAGGACTCACACAGGAGAGAAACCGTATGAATGTCCAGAATGTGGGAAAACTTTCAGCCAGAATTCCACCCTCGTGATACACCAGAGGACTCACACAGGAGAGAAACCAAATGAGTGTCCAGATTGTGGGAAAAGTTTCAGTCATATTTCCAGTCTGATAATACACCAGAGGATTCACACAGGGGAAAAACCGTATGAATGTTCAGAATGTGGGAAAAGGTTCATTAGTAATGCCAGCCTGGTGACACACCAGAGGACTCACACAGGAGAGAAACCTTATGAATGTTCAGAATGTGGGAAATGTTTCAGTCAGTATTCCACCCTGGTGGCACACCAGATGACTCATACAGAGGACAAACCACATGAGTGTCTAGATTGTGGCAAAAGTTTCAGTCATAATTCCACCCTCGTGATACACCAGAGGACTCACACAGGAGAGAAACCTTATGAATGTTCAGAATGTGGGAAATGTTTCAGTCAGTATTCCAACCTGGTGACACACCAGAGGATTCACACAGGAGAGAAACCGTATGAATGTCCAGAATGTGGGAAAAGTTTCAGCCGGAATTCCACCCTCGTGATACACCAGAGGACTCACACAGGAGAGAAACCGTATGAGTGTCCAGATTGTGGGAAAAGTTTCAGTCATATTTCCAGTCTGATAATACACCAGAGGATTCACACAGTATGAATGTTCAGAATGTGGGAAAAGGTTCATTAATAATGCCAGCCTGGTGACACACCAGAGTTTTCACACAGGAGAGAAACCGTATGAATGTTCAGAATGTGGGAAATGTTTCAGTCAGAATTGCAACCTGGTGACACACCAGAGGACTCACACAGGAGAAAAACCGTATGTGTGTCCAGAATGTGGGAAAAGTTTCAGTCGTATTTCCAGTGTAATAAGACACGAGAGGACACACACAGGAGACAAACCATATGAATGTACTGAGTGTGGGAAAAGTTTCAGTCATAGTTCCAGTGTGATGAGACACCAGAGGATTCCCACATGAGAAAAACCGTATGAATGTTCAGAATGTGGGAAATGTTTCCGTAATAATTCAGACCTGGTGACACACCAGAGAACTCACACAGAGGACAAACCATATGAGTGTCCAGATTGTGGCAAAAGTTTCAGTCATAATTCCGGCCTAATGACACACCGGAGGACTCATTTCCAGGACAAATTGTATGAATGTCGAGAGTGTAAGAAAAGTTTCAGTCATAATTCCAACCTGATGAGACACCAAAGGACTCACAGCCTTGATAAAGGCTAATTACCTTTTCTGGTGATCAGCAGAACTTTCATGATATTCCCTTTTGCAGAGGTGTGGAATTCTTCAAGAAGGCTTTTGGGTGGTATTTTTTATATTGATTATTGAATTCCCATGATTGGAGTTTCCATCTTTTACCTTGGTGTCCTCCAGATTTTGAATGCCAGAATTTCCCAACTACATACAATTAGTCCTCGAAATATAAGGGTAATGGGGCCTATCTATTATAGTTTTATGTTGCAATCACAATTAGGGTTTTATGTTGCAATCACTGTTAAAGGAGACGGCTTTGCTTAACTACCCCCACCCCCTTCTCTCCCTGATAAAGCTGGTCAATGAATGTGTGAGTTACTAAACGATGAAGATCACTGAACTTTATTTTGGGAAAAGAGGGCAGGACATGCATCCCTGGGCTGCATGATTGTGTTGTGGAAGCAGCTGTCATTTTCATTGTGCCTGGAATTCATGGTGACAGCAGGGATCAAACATGCCATCCGTAATGTGTCCCTTCATGCGCACAAGAGGTTTAAATCCAGCCCACCTTGAATTTCTTTGACTCTTATATACTTCCAAATTGCTTTTTTGCAAGTTTCAACCAACTTTTATATTTCTAATCATAAACACATATTAAGTTGCAGTCTTGTCATTGTTCAGTTATTTCATGTTTTCTCTTATTGCTTTTATTTTATGATACAAAAGTGTATACTGTTTCCCCTTTCTCTTATTTCTATCTCTTATTCTAACTTTTAATCATGTCACCCTATATTAAAAGACATTTTCTTTCTGTCCTACCCAGCTTCTAGTCGTGTCACCTACCTAAAAAAACAAAAGAAAAGAGAGAGAAAAAGAAAAGCAAATCAGAATAACAAAAAAGAAAAATCATTTATCCATCGTCTCTTGCCCGCTTCAGTACTTTAATTGCTCTGCTTTTCTTTGCTTGCCTCCCTTATTCTTCCCTTGGATCTTTATCTCAGTCTGCATCTACTTCTTGGCAGTTCAATCCTAGTTTCCAAAATTTTTACCCGGGCCCCTATCTCCCTTTCAAAAGTATCTTCCTGTATCTCCAATTCTCTTTTCAACTCTCTTAATATATTTCCCCTCCAATTTAATTCACCTGTTACTGTTATTTTCATTGTTATCTCCTCCTTAACTTCTTTTGTTCTCTGGTTCTTCGGTGCAGTCATTTCCTCCATTTCTTCTGTTGGCTCCTCCCTTTCCTGGGCATCTTGGTCTTTACTCATCATCCCTCCTATGGTATTTTCCATTTTTTCCATAATCTCCTTAAATCCTTTCTCCATGATGTCCTTTGTGTTTTGAAAAAGTAACACCATCTCCTTCAAAGTTCCACTCATTTCTTCCTTATAAAGCATCTTATTTTGTTTTTAAAATTCAACTTTTTTTAATCAGAGTTTTTTTTATTTTTTACACAAACAGACAAACAAACATACAATGTATTCTTTTTGAGTGTTGGCCATTTCACAAATTTAAACAATTTTTAGTCATTTCAACACAAGTTATATTTTCTCTTTTTGCCTTAGTATTTATCCTCTCTAACTCTTTTTTTTAGACCAATATTACCCTTCATCCTAATCACTAATCTTAACCAAATTCAATTTTTCCATTCATCTCTATTTTAAACCCCTTCAATTTCAAATTTCACCACATAATGTAATTCCTAATATTTCCTTATATTCCCTTGATATAATCACTATTTTTAATTATAAATTATTTCAATATAATAGAATCCAGCATCTCAGTAAAAATCAATTATGTAGTATTACAATCATGCATTTCTTATAAAAATAATAAACCAAATTGTTTTATACATTTTTTTAAATCTTATTTCAAATGATACAATCCATCATCTTAATAAAAATCAGTTAATTATATAACAATCTTTCTCTTTATATAATAATAATAAATCAAATTGGTTTTCCTGAATCTTGTCTCTAATTTTCAATTACTTTGTCAAACATACATATTTGTATCTCTTCAAACATCTTAATCATTTCTATTTTCACTGCAACCTAGTTAGTTCATACTTTGAACTGTTTTCTTTTTTAATTAGATTCCAAATATGCAGTTAATGATATTCCAGTTGTTCGAGTTTTCCGTAAATTTAAAAATATTCCAGCTGTTAGTTCCAACAGTGAAATTTAAAATCTTATTTAAACTTATTCATATTCTAAAACGTATTTCAATTCATTCATATATCCATATAATTTTCCATTATTTTATATTACTTAATTAATATCACAAACTCATCTTTTTCTAACAAATCTTACTTCAATTCATATTTCAATTCTAAGTGTATACAGCATATATCTCTTCATTTCTTTCTCACTTTTTTTTTTATTTTTCTTCCCCTTTCGTTCGTTCTTTCTTTTTTTTTTTTTTTTGTGCTTTAAAATCCTGAATCCTCCTGTTTTGCCCTGTATTTCCCTGGTTTCCATCTCTTTTCCCTTTTTCTTATTTCTGCACTGTTAGTCCCGGTGTAATCTTTTTGTACAGTATTTTAAAATCCTGGACAATTCTTTTTTGCCCTGAATTTCCCATAGTTTTCCATCCCTTTTCCCTCCTCCTTGTTTTCCCACTGTTAATCCCATTGTAATCTTTTAAATTTTTTATATTCTTTCTGTTCCACCCTTTCTTCTCTCTTTGTCTCTTTCCACCCTTTCTGTTTTTTTCCATTGTTAATCCCAATGTACTCTTTAACTTTCTCCTTTTTATTTTTACTACCCACATGATCATTTAATTTTTCGTAGTCAGTCTCGTCTTTGGTTTTTTTTTTAATTTGGTTTATATGCCGCCCTTCTCCAGAGACTCAGGGCGGCTTACAGTGCGTTAAGCAATAGCCTTCATACTTTTGTATATTTATACAAAGTCAGTTTATTGCCCCCACAAACTGGGTCCTCATTTAACCTACCTTAGAAAGGATGGAAGGCTGAGTCAACCTTGAGCCTTGGAGAGATTCGAACCAGCAGTAAATTGCAGGCAGCTGTGTTAATAACAGGGTGCTTTAAACCACTGTAGTACCAAGGCTCTTGTCTTCCTCTTTATTTTCAATTTTTTATTTCTTGCTTCTTCGTTATTTTCTTGTCAACTTGAATGTGTTCTAACACAATTTTTGAATCATCGGGTTCAGTTTTCCATGCAACATTGTAATTATTTCCTTCACTTCCGTTTTCAGTGATAGATGCATCATTTTCATCATTTCCATAAGTTCCTGCGCCATTTTATTCTTTCTCGGTTAGTATTATTCCAATTTAAAGTTGTGTTGTAGTTCTTTTTTTTTTTTTATCATCAAGCCTTACAGACAGACAAACCCTCCTCAGAAGTTCTCAAGGCTGTTATCGCTATCCGGATTCAAGGTTTTTCCAAAAAAAAAATTCAGCGTTGAAATGATCTTATTTCTTCTGAAGATGTCTCTCTACAATCCACAATTCCAATCAGCAGCCTGAAAAAGTATCCATTTTGTTTGTAATCCACATTAAGAATCTTTGCTAATTTTTTCCCTTTTCTTCTTTTTATCTCACAACCTCACAGGGGGCCCTTCTTTGCTTCACCGGCTTTGGCTCTTCTTGGAGGCCACAAACAGGGAAAATTCAGCACAGGGAACGTGGAGACTCATTCCCTGTGTCTGATATCCCTGCAATGTCAACTGGAAGTCTCATACTTACAAATTGCTTTGATCGTTGTTCAGATTCTTTCAGAGATCTCAAGCTTGCAATAAATCTTTATTCCCATTTGAACAGTCTGGATCTTCCGATTTCCCTGGTGCTTGACAGGGAGGGCACTTTCCTTGGCTCCCTCTCTCCCTCCCCCCCAAAGCAACCCCCAGCAGGCATGGGAGCAAGCAGCCAAATTGGAGAAAGGATTGCAATTCTCATCCACAGAGACCTCTCCTCCCTGGAGAGAGGAATTCTTGGGGAGGGATCCTCCAGAGTTCCTTTCCCGTTACTCATCCACATCAAGGAGCTTTTCTCCTGGATATCCCCAGCCGCCATTCTTTGCCCCTCTGTTTTGTGCAGTCCTCCTGTTGCCTTCCCTGCCCCACATTCTTCCCTGCAGATCAGCTGATCAGAGGGTCCCGGGCAGGAGGTGCTGAGCCCCAAAGGAATTGCAGGCAACCCATGATCTCTCCATGGATACCTCTCCATGGAGAGACTAGTCACTAGGATGAATTGCTCCTCTGGGGAGATGCGCCCCAGCCAGTGTCTCGGGGCAGAGAAAGTCCCCATATTCCTCTCGCCGCCTCCATGGCTGTTTACTGCTTTTGCACTTAAACTTAGCATGCTGCACAATGGAGGAGACAGGGTCCCCTCCTCCTCCTCCTGAAGTCCATTACGATGCGGAGCATTGGCTGCAGCCGGGCAGGCCAGCCAGTGTCCAGGTGTGGAGAAAGTTTGCGCATCTCCTAACAAGGGCTGGAAAAAGAGGCAAGTAGAGGGGCGCTTCGTTTCCACTCTGGAATACAGAGTGAGTCTCCATCTGCCACTGTCGCCCTTCTCAGGACAGGTGAGGAGTGAGTGGGGGCAGCCAGCCATCAGGGAACCACAGCAGGGGGACGAAAGAGCTTCATTTATCTAGGAACCTGAAATGACTCTTGATTTAAATCATACGGTAAAAGGCACCCAAAGAAGAAAGAACAAGATCAGCGAAAAACCCCCAAACAAACCCAACCCTCGCCGTTTTTTGGGAAATGGTTCAAGGGGGAACACACACATGCCGCACACACATACCCACACACACAAACAAGAGAGGGAGAAAGAGAGAGGGAGAAAGAGAGGGAGAAAGAGAAGGATGAGAGAGATGAGAGACAGGGCTGCCTGCTGTTTCCTGCTGCAGTCGGGAAGCGAGAGAGAGAGAGAGAGAGAGAGATTCAGCTCCGTCTGCTCCCCTCGAGGCAACCTCGTGGCGCTGTGCTCTAACAGCCTGACAGTCACTCCTTTTGCAATGCATGGTTTATTTTGGTATCTTTCCAGAGACAGACAATGTGGCCGAATTTCCTTAGTTATTATCTGGGGGTGGGGGTGAGGAATGGGGGAGAGAGAGGGAGGAAGAGAAAGGAAGGAAGGAAGGAAGAGGAAGGAATTTTTGGATTTCACCACTGGTTTCTATGGATGAATGGTCGGGGAGGGGAATGCGCGACACTCTGGGATGGAGAGTGGGGCAAGAGAATGCTCCAATGTTCGCTTGGGTGGCGGAGGGAAACTCAAAGCGTTGGGGGCTTCAGAAGAGGCAAAATGTGCTTTAAAATGTACAGCTCCTGGTTCTAATAGAGAGTGATGTCAAGTTGGCCACACCCACCTGGTCACATGACCACCAAGCCACGTCCACAGAACTGGTAGCAAACATTTCACCCCTGTTCAAGTGGCCCTTTGAGTGTTTAAGGTTGCAGAACCGTGTCCCATACGATTTCAAAAAATGGCTGTCCAGTCCAGTCTCTTCTTGAAAGCCTCCACTGATGGAGCACCCTGAGCTACTGAAGGGAAGCCATTCCACTGATTAATTGTTCCCACTATCAGGAAACTTTTCCTTAGCTTTAGGTTGCTTTCCTCCTCAATTAGTTCCCATCCATTGTTTCTTGTCTCACCTTCTGCTGCTTTGGAAAATAGGTTGAACCCCTTTTTCTTTGTGGTAGCCCCTCAAATATTGGAACACTGCTATCATCTCACTACCATATCATTTTATTTTAATCTGAATTTTAGATCTTTTGTCCACACATTCTCCCATTGTTTAAGCATTATTTTATATGGAAAACATGCCTTTAAAGCAGGGGTGTCAAACTCAAG